CCCCAAAACCCCAAAACCCCAATCTGCTTTACCTATGAAAATTGAGGGAATAATATAGATAAATTGGATATTTTTTATTTATAATATTATACTTATTAAGCATTTAACAATCATAATGAGAAGTATGTTTGCAAAATCTATTGTGCTCTGTGGCATGATTTTGTCTTCATAGTGTTTAACTTAAGAAGTAAATTCATAATTGTTTAATATTTCTAGGATTTAACAGCAGATCCTGACATATCTAAGACTTTTAAATAGCTTGTAGAGGAAAATGGTTTCATTTTTGAGGAGCATCTTGTTACTACCTCTGATAACTATATCCTTAGGCTATTTAGAATCCCTGGAATGTAAGAAGGAAATGACCTGAACTCAACAGAGTATAATGCCATTCAAAATAAACCACCAGTCCTTCTCTAACATGGTTTGGTTGATTCAGCAGATAGCTGGTTGGCTCACGTGAGCAGTAAGGCACCAGGTTTTGTGTTAGCAAGATCAGGGTATGATGTTTGGTTTGGTAACAGTAGGGGAAATAAGTACAGCTTGGGGACACATGTTGATATTAACTAGAAAGATTATTGGGCTTTTAGCTTTGAATAAATGGGTGATTTAGATCTCCCTGCTGTTATTGATTACATACTCTAGGTTACAAAATAATAGAAACTAGCCTATATGGGACACTCTTAAGGTACAAGTCAAATGTACTATGCTTTGGCTGAAAATGAAAATTATTTTGCTGATAAAGTTTCAGTCTTTATCGCTCTTGGTCCAGTCATCAGACTAGATCATGCCCCATCAAAGGTTTTCTAATTTGTCTCATCTAATGAAAATAGGAAACTTTTGATAGACACCTGTAACAACCTTGGAATTAACTCTATATTTGAGGCTAACTGGTTAACCACTGATTCTATGAGATTGATATGTGGTGCTATACCTTAAATATGCGAATATGCACTTGAATTTGCAACTGATAAGGATCCATCACTTGATGATGTTAGTAGACTTTAAGTATTCTTTGGACATTACCCCTCAGGGTCAAGTGTCAGATAAATTGATCATTATGCCTAAATAGTTGAAGCTAAAGAATTCAGAAGATATGATTACGGTGAATCTGGCAACATGTAGAAATACAACTAAACTGTTCCACCCTTGATTGATATCACTAAAATCTCAAGAGTACCTATCGCAATGTTTGTTGGAAATCAAGACGAAGCTGCTGATGCTGTTGATAATGAATGGGCTAAGACTTAACTCAAGACTCTTGCCTTCTATCAAGAATATGCTCTTGGACATTCTTCATTCTTCGTTGCAAAAGATTTTTCATTTTTCACCACAGATGTCATGAATGTGCTTGAAAAGTTTCACCCAGCAAATCTTACCGAGCCTTTAGGGGAACCTAAATTGATTAGCTAGAATGAAGCCCCCATAAACCTTTGATATTAGAGGTATTATTATCCTATTAAAATCAAAATAATTTTATACTTCAAATTAACAAATAATAATAATTTTTAGAATATGGGATATGGGGTTTTGGGGTTTTGGGG